CCTGCCCTGTAACCAGATTACATCTGTGCTGTGCTGTATCCTGGAGAAGCAATAAACTCCCTCTATTCTACTGGCTGGTGGAGTCTGTCCGTGCCATTACAGGGGTGTAGGAGACAGGAAAACCCCAATGCGCCGTCACACCCTGGCACTGCTGTAGCCTGGGAATGGAGTTTTCTCACTGCTTGGAGGCTTGGTCAATGCAGGCAGCAGCATGCGAAGGCTTTTCAAAACCACTCGAGCCAGAAGCTCACCCCTTCCTTCCCAGCTTCCCTTCTTGCAATTTGGGATGGTCTCCCCTCTCTGGCTCCGACCTTGCTGTTGACACTGGAACGGGAAGCCAATGGCTCTTATTAACAGAGCAATGCTGCTGTTGGGACTCCTTGTGAGATCTTTCCATGCTCACCCTCTGTTTACAAAGGGATTTTATTCTTTGAAGGAGTGGAAGGAATTAGATGGTCACAGGAACGAGAGCGTGAAACTGGAATAACGAGGGTGACAGTTTCCTTGCTTACAGTGTAAAAGCATCTTCTACCCTACCCCCACCCCAAGTGAAGAGGTGAAGATAGGGATTTAAAATCTTGTTTAATTGGTTAGCTGGTTAAACATATTGCACATCGAGAAAAATAACCCCAACTATACGTACAGTATGATGGGGGCTAATTTGGCTATGACAAATCAGAAAAGAGATCTTGGAGTTATTGTGGACTGTTCTCTGAAAACTTCTACACAGTGTGCAGCGGAGGTCAAAAAGGCAAATAGGATGCTAGGAATTATTAAGAAAGGGATAGAAAATAAGACACTGACTATCTTACTGCCCCTGTATAAAACTATGGTACGCCCACATCTTGGATACTGAGTACAGATGTGGTCTCCTCACCTCAAAAAAGATAGTTTGGCCTTGGAAAGGGTTCAGAAAAGGGCAACTAAAATGATTAGGGGTTTGGAATGGGTCCCATATGAGGAGAGGTTAAAGTGACTGGGACTTTTCAGTTTAGAAAAGAGGAGACTGAGGGGGGATATGATAGAGGGATATAAAATCATGAGTGGTGTGGAGAGGGCGGATAAAGTTATTTATTAGTTCCCATAATAGAACTAGAGGACACCAAATGAAATTAATTGGTAGCAGGTTTAAAACTAATAAAAGAAAGTTCTTCTTCACACAGCGTGTAGTCAACCAGTGGAACTCCTTGCCAGAGGAGGCTGTGAAGGCTAGGACTATAATAGAGTTTAAAGAGAAGCTAGATAATTTCATGGAGGTTAGGTCCATAAAAGGCTATTAGCCAGGGGATAGAAATGGTGTCCCTGGCCTCTGTTTGTCAGAGGCTGGAGAGGGATGGAAGGAGACAAATCTCTTTATCGTCTTCAGTCCACCCTCTCTGGGGCACGTGGTGCTGGCCACTGTCGGCAGACAGTATACTGGGCTAGATGGACCTTTGGTCTGACCCAGTACGGCCGTTCTTATGTTCTTATTGTTTAGCCAGTTAAACATATTGGCCCATAGCTACAGGGCACAGCCAGACTCATTGCTTGTGTGTCATTTAAAAAAAAATTCCTCCTTGGAAACTGCTTTATTTTATAGCACATTTAAAAATCACAACGGGAAATGACACTGGTTGAAAGGCAAACCCTGTATGTGTTGGACTAAACCCTGCCCTGCTGCTGGGTGGTGTCTGTGAAGCCTTTAAGCAGTTGACAGAGTCTATTTTTCCTGCCTCGAAAGGGTGAGACTCAGATCTCCAGCAACTATAACTGCATGGAGCAGGGCTAGTTTGTGACCACCTGAAGATCCAGCTTAATGTCTTCCCTGAGGTTTTATCCTGGTCTCTAAAATCGAAGCTATTGCAGGACTTGTGAGGATATAAACCAAACCCTCGTGTGCCCCTCTTTCCTTCCCTTGGGGTCACTGGTGTCAGCATCCCCTTTTCAAACCGAAAAAGCATGTCTCCTGCATCTCGCAGGCAGGGAAGCTGGGGTGGACGTGTTGCAGCAGATGGACTGGGCAGCAAAGTGGAAGATCCAAAGGTTCTCTCTGGATTGCAAATGAATGTGGCCCCCTGCATGTTAGTATTTACCATCTCAGGTCGAGGGGTTGCAAGTGGGTATCACACAGTGAGCATGTGCTCTTGGAAATGGGCCCACCCTCTGCAACAAGCAGAAGTGACTAGCTGGAGAACAACGAGCTAAGGAGCATGGCGAGGTGACCATGTTTCCTGGGAACAGGAACAAAAGCCCGAGGAGGGACCAGGTGGGGTTTTTAAGCATGAGGCTGCTGAAAGCAGGGAACCTTCAGGACCGGTCCAGAGGAGATCTCTGGGCTCTGAACAGACCCGGACGGACTATGCTGTAACCTTCTGTCCTCTGTACTAAGGACTTTCTGTCCTGTGCTCCAGACATCTAATAAATCCTTCTGCTCTTTTACTGCACTGGCGGAGAGTCATTCCAGATGATTAAGGAAACTGAGCCTATGGGGGCTGACACGCTAAAGGGGTTCTCTCAGGAACTTTCCACAGCTGTACAAGAGCACCAGACCTGTGGATCCATGACAAGCCCCTCCCCTCTAGTCCTTGGGCTACCAGCAGCAAAGACCACCCCAAGCTCCTTCCAGATGTGGCTGTGAGCAGGGAAATCCCACGCTAGCGAGTCAGGGATCCCATCCTGAGGAACGGACAGGAGAAGGAGAAAGGATCAGGTCAAGGGGGCTGAGCCACCCCTCTGGGATCCCATGCAGAGGATGCAGCCCTGAGTTGTACTTAGCATCCTGGTGGGAGTCTGGTTGGAAGAGGACTGGCCTGTGATTGATCCAATGAGCAGCTGTTTGGCTCTTAGTGAGGAGGCAGCAAGGAAGGAAGCCAGCCACCCTGCCATTTACTGCATTGGCATTGCCACGGATGGAGGGATTCAGTAATAACACAGGCCCTGCTAATAGCCACAATGTACACTATTAAAAACCCTGATGGCATGAGAAATCACCACTGTGCCTACATGTGAGGTACTAAGAAAGCAGAATGGATCGCTCCATGGCTCCAGATCACACAGACCTTTCCCAGACTCTGCACCTTCTCCTGCACCCCAATCCCTTGCCCCAGATCACAACCCTTCCTGCCCTAGGTCACCTCCCAAATCCTCTGCACCCCCTCCTGCACCCTGACACTGGTCACAACTCCCTCCCAGACCCTTCACCCTCTACTTCACCCCAAATCACAATCCTCTCCTTCATCCAAACTCCCTCCCAGACCCCACATCCCCTCCTGCACCCCAGTACCTTATGTTGAGATCCCTTCTGCCCCCAATATCCATCCTAGACCATGCACCTCCTCAATTAATATCATAGACGAGTGCCACCCTTGACCACTTACCAAATTCTTGGAGTGCCCCCCCAACTTAATTTGTAATGCTAACAGGAAACAAAGCCTTTCAGCAGAAACAGGGTGAAATAGAAGCAGACAGAACTTATAAGCAAGTCATTATACATCAAATCATTATATATCATATTTATAGTCTTATAAATACGCAATATTAAAATATACATTTTTGCTACACATCTAGCCCAGTATCCTGTCTGCCACCAGTGGCCAATGCCAGATGGGCCAGAGGGAGTGAAGAGAGCAGGGAATCATCATATGATCCCTCCTCTGTTGCCCATTCCCAGCCTCTGCCAAACAAGAGGACAGGGACACCATCCCTGCGCATCCTGGCTAGTAAGTGTTGCTGTGGCAGGGAATAGGGGCCTGGGACGGCGGATGACAGGGGGGTGGGGGAGCTCCCAAAGGAGCATGGCTGCGGCCCCGTCTCAGGGGAAGTGGCTGGTGTCACTAGACGAAGCAAACGCGCCCCGGACACGGGGAAAGGGGCAGGTGAGCAGCTAGAAGGGGCTGAGTCCTGGCCTTAGAATGACACACCAGTGTGTGAGTGTGAGTGTGTGTGTGTGTGTGTGTGTGTGTCTTCCATAACATGGGGGGAGACCCTACAACAACCCAGGGGCAACAGGGGGGAGGGGTCCCCAGAATAACCCAGAGGGCTAATGCACGCGCCCCGGACACGGGGAAAGGGGCAGGTGAGCAGCTAGAAGGGGCTGAGTCCTGGCCTTAGAATGACACACCAGTGTGTGAGTGTGAGTGTGTGTGTGTGTGTGTGTGTGTGTCTTCCATAACATGGGGGGAGACCCTACAACAACCCAGGGGCAACAGGGGGGAGGGGTCCCCAGAATAACCCAGAGGGCTAATGCGGGGAGGGTTCCTACAATAACAGTGGATCTGGCGCGGCCGGGCCGTTCCTTAACGGGGTTGG